GGATGGACCGAAGAGTGATTTGCAGATGCACAAGAGACAAACACAATGATTGAGAGTAGTGAAAGGTGAATACTGTAGAAGTGGTCGACTATGACATACAGTCGGGTCATGATAGTTTGAAGTCAGAAGTCAACTGCCAGTTAATAGACTTTTTTGCCATATGAGAATACGTTGCCCAGGATGCCCCACGTGAAGGTAAGTCTATCGCACACCCCTTCCCGTAACATAAGTTTCGCATGTTAATTTCCCTTAATATTGACGTAAACTTGTCGATTCTTTGGTTAAAGGTAAAATTAAGAAAAAACATTGAGCATGACATCTGAACAATTACGTTGTCTCTACCCCCCCCCTACTAGCATCATTCAACCTACCACAGTTGGTAATTTCCATGCCGTTTTTTCACCCCCATCCAAATTTTCCTTCTTTTCTTATAAACAAAATGTTTTTTGGGTAGTTTATTCTTGTTAATGCACTACCGTTTCATACTACATTGCTTTCCCAATTGCGTTTCCATTCATCAAATGGTGATTTTTTCCTGTTTAGTTGTCAAACTATAAGATTGAAAAAAGAAGGTAGAAAACTGCAGTAAAGATAAAAACACGCTCCCTCAAGCATGTTCCAATTATTTTGGAGGAGGAGATTTAGTTGAAGAAGTGGCAGGAAAGAGAGCGCAAACCATGTCCGTCACGCTATCTGCACAGGAGGATACGTGTACTGGTTGAGTGTTTTTGGTCCGCAAATACATATATCTCTTCTGCTTGACTTGCTGTTCATGCGTCCACCTCCCGCCCCCCGCCCCTCCCCTCACCCCGAATCCTCCTTCCCCTCCCCTCCCCCTTTCCTTAAAAGGAATGAATGATTTCTTGGCCACTTGGTCGCGATTTGAGTCAGCAGTTTGAGTCCACTTACCTTCATCTCCCGTTCTTCCACATTTTATTAGCACTACAACCTGCTGTAAAAAATGGAATCTAAGAACTGTGGTTGGGAATCAATTAAAGGCTTTTCGTTTAAAGGGTAGAGGGGTGGGGAATAGTAAATGGCCTAATGGATTTCTACTAATGGTGAAAAGCAGCATTATTTCTTTTTGGGAGAAAAATTTGGGAAAATAAATGACCTATTATTAGGGCTAATTGTCTTGTATTCATTAGGTCATTTTTTTACTTTTAATGTATCTGGCAAACTGGTAACATATTTGGAATGAACGTGAAAAAAATCGACGTTTATTTGGTTGGGAATGAAAGTTCTCACAGTGATATCACAGATATCCAATGAAGTGGGTAATGAAATAATTGCGAGGCTAAATTTGCTGAAGTTACGGAAGACTTTAGTTATCCTTGTTCTTATAAAGCGTAACATTTTTCTGCAAAATTCTGGAATTTAAATTTTAAGGTATGGCCTTGTTCCATGCTCGAGATTGTGTTGGTGATAATCAAAGTTTGTCGGCCAGACATCTTGCAACCAAGCAGGAATTATTTGAAAAGTTTTCACCAATCATGGACTCCAAAACAGGAAAATAAAGACCAATCAATAAAATTAGAAAACTCCGTAAATTAATTTCACATTTTTTTTACTAAAACAAGGCCTCTCATAAATTTCATGGTTTACTATATAAATTCAGTTTTATTTTCAAAATTAACAACTAAAAACCATGAAATTAGAAATCTTTTTCTTTCAATTTAAACCCTATTTGACTATTTCCATTTACGGAGGGCAGTTTTAATGATGCTATGCAACTGCTGTTCACTTCGAAACGAGATGTTTTATGGTTTGAAATAGAAGATGGGGTGGTGGGTAGGTGGGAGGTGGGGGTGGGAAGAGACCGGGAGAAGGAAACGCTTTAATTACTTCACTTCCCACAGTGCAATTTTATTAATCGTTATTGGAAGGTTTGTGGGGGGGGGGTTGAGGGGAAGAGGGGAGCAAAGCGCATCGAAGTTGCGTTAAAATGATTGAATATCGACTCGAAGAGAGTTGCAAGCTCCAATGTTAAACTGAAATTGAGGAATGACAACCCGGAACCTTCTGATTTAAATTATTACATTAGGCCGGTGTGTCTGTTAAAGGCGTTTGACAGATTTTAGTCGTTGACCTGGTGTTTTTTTTAACTAAGCAGAAGTAAGAATCGTTTGTTACTACAATAGTGCCCACGTTGTTTCAAATTATGACGATATGCTTTTAACTAAAAAGCTACATAGTACGTTAGCTGATGGCAACAGGGCATTTATATCTTTCACCCAGTATTCTTACTTTTTAGGCTAAGTTGCAAAGTGCCCAAAACACTATTGGTCAACTGCGTCAAGACTTAACTTCACTTATGGCTGAAAAAGAAGAAGAACTGGAGGCCTTCAAGTAAGTTCCAGCTTTAATTGTTTATCATACTCAAAACCCTCCCATATTCCATACGATATTATTCGCTACTCGCATCAACATTTTGCTTGATAATAGCCAACTTTACTCCAACTGTGAAATATCGGAAATCAGTGACGCAAATTTATTTACATATCTCACAAACAAATGTATTAAATCAGTATCACTCGTATTCCAGACTCGTCGTTTTAATCCACCTTTAAAATATATATCCCTTTGATCCTCCCAGAATGTGAAAAATGTCGTTTAGAAGTCCTTTCAAAGTAGCATTTAGCCAATCCACCTATGCAATTTTTTTAAAATTTATAGAAGCGTTGTTTAAAGTAGAAAAAGATTATCAGACGGCTTTATTTACACTAATGCTCAGGGGAGTCATGTGATTAGTCAATGTAAAAATAAAGTCCATGCACCAGTAGCGCAGTAGTTAAGGTAAACTTATTGAAATTCAAGGCCGTGGGTTCAGTCATGATCGACACACACACACACACACACACACACACACACCTAGTGAGAAGAATGATCAACCACATTTGTCAAATTTAACAAATAGTTGTGGTAGACTTGGAGGTTCTCAATAGAGGGTTTACGTTGCTACCTCTCTAAGCAAGATGGATGTTGCAAAGTGCTTGGCTAAGTGGTCTTGGAGGTAATTGGAAAGATCTGAAAGCTTGGTACAAATAGCACCCGTTCTGTTCATAGATGATATGTGAGAGAAATTCCTACTTTCCTAAGGGAAGAGATGGGTGTATTTGAATTCCTTAATTGATTAACTATAAATTTATTTATTTATTTCAAATGGCAGGCGTTTTGATATTTATCATTAGCCCTTTAGCTGACTTCGGACTTCACAGGGGGGAGGAACATCAAAGTAACAGAAAATCGAGGGGTGGGGAACAGAAGAGTGATTTAAAGATGTAAAGAGACAGACATGAAGGCAGAGAAAAGGTAGGATGAGTACTGCGCCAGAAGTCAATCGCCAGTTAATAAACTTTTTTGCCGTATGAGTATACGTTGCCCAGGGTGCACCACGTGGAGCTGAGTCTATCACGCACCCCTAATAGAGGCGCCGTGCCTCCGGGGAGAATTGAACTCCCGACCCCTGGTTTACTGGTAACGTTTGGTTGTTGGTGCCACTAAACCAAGCCGACTAGGCCCGGATGGCGGAATTGCTGACGAAATCGCTGTTAATAAAAAGATGAATAAGATCCAAGCAATACATAATCGGCTATGCAACTATAAATTAATCGTTCCTCAATATTGACTTATGGCAAGGCCATTCGACTTGGCATATGCACTCAAGTAAGGTAAATGATGGGCGATAAACCAACCATAGGAAACCAAAAGATATTAGCAACAATTTAGTTCAATTTTCACTTTCAGAGGTTAAATTCTGTTGTTTTAAAAATGTCTTGCTAAGAAGCGGGACAAAACTCTCCTTAGAAGATTTGTTTACTCATTCTCCCATTTAGACCATATGGTCTTTCCTGTTAAACTAATATGTTGATGACCTGTTTCCTCAGAGGAAAGATGTGTATTGGTTTAAAGCAAAAGCGACTTTCTTTCTTACTTTCGAACAGGCGTTCAAGTCATCGTACCATCGAGGACTTAAACGGCGTTCTGAAGGACCTCGAATCCAAGCATCGGGCTGAGGCTGCTCGCTGGAAGAAGAAGTTGGATACAACTTTAGCCGACTTGGAACACGAATTGGCAAACGAGCGAGAGGCCAAGGAGAGCGCAGAAAAAGCGGCTCAAGAAGCAGAAGATCATTATAACCACCTCGCTGCGGAATTTGATGAGCTTAACAATTCGATGGAAGAGGCAAGAACAGCCCTCCAGGTGAGACATTTCTCTTATATGGCGTCCTATTCACGTTGGAAGCCTTCATAATGTACAATTGCTTTCCGTTGTAATAACGTCAGGAATAGTAAGTATTCAAACCTCATGACAAAAATAATTTTCCTTATTAATGATGGAGGAAGGGTTTAATTTGGAATTCATAATCGAATGGGAGAGAAAGCTGCCTAAAACCGTCGAACTTTACAGAATTTGGAACCACAAGAGATATGAAACCTCTCGATGGCTAAATATTCGAGTGGGTATAGGGAACATAAGAAGCATGTGCCGGTATTTTAACACAGGTGCTGTAATTAAAGCCATGTAGAATATTTTTCGACACATGGTGACCAAAAGACGCTCAACCACAACAGGGCTTGGTGGATGAGTGGTAAGTCCAATGAGGTGAGGCCAATAAAATTCGATTATTGATCTGAATCAACGATTAAGAGTAGGGGGGGGGAGGATGCAGAGAATGAGTAAATCAAAAATTTTAGGGGTTATCATTCTGTGGTTTTCCTAGTTAATTAATTGAGAGATTTGAAATAGTGGTCTTGAATCTATTCTACTTCAGATTTTGTAAAGTCCACTCTTGAAAGTCGACTCATTATTAATATTTTTTCTGCTGAAGATTATATCTCCACTTCGACTGCGCATATATGATTGTTAATTAATAGCTCGGGAGAATAAAATTAAACAAACCGGCATTGTGAAAAGTCGCTTTTGGAAAAGACTACTTATGAATAAACTCGATTATTGCTACTTCTAAACTAAACTAGATTTTCAGAGAAAAATCTAAGATTTCTCTGTAAAATTTTATTTATTTATATCAAATGGTAGGCGTCTTGATGGTTATCATTAGCCCTTTAGTTGACTCCAGGCTTCACAGAGGGGAAGGAACATCAAATTGAAAAAAAGTCTAGAGGGGGGGGGGACAGAAGAGTGTTTCAAAGATGTAAGAGACAAACACAAAGGTAGAACAAAGGTGAGGTGAGTAATCTGGAAATAGTCGAATATGGCATACAGTGGGATGATGATAGTCTGAAGTGAGAAGTCAACTGCCAGTTAATAAACTTTTTTGCCGTATGAATATACGTTGCCCAGGGTGCACCACATGGAGGTAAGTCTATCGCACACCCCTCTGTAAAATGTAAAACATTTTGAAAGAATTGTTACCAAATTTGGATTAGGTGCTTCGTCGAAGATTCATTAGTAGTAGACAGTTTATAAAAAAGATTCTCCAGTGTGCTTAAATTGTTACAAATTGACCACGACTTTTAATGGGAATAAAATTATCGGTTAATCAATACATATTTCACTTTTACAGGTGTGCGTTAAAATGACATGTTTTCATTCTTAATCTAATTACTAATCGAAAATCGTGTAATCCACATACAAATATTAGATATGGACTCAATTTTAACGAGCATAACTATGACGAAAACTTCACTTAATAAACAATTAGAATTTAAGTATATTCCTCGTTTTTTGCACTGTTTCGTTTGAAATAAGATCCTGTCTTTGTCAGCCATTCACTGTTGTTATACCACTGCCAAAATGAGGAAAACGGAAATCGACCATTACACTATTTTATTAATAAAACAGAACTATTTTGCTTGAAATAAGAAAATTGTGCATTAATGTAATGATTGTATGTTCTTTAGAGAAAATTGATTTTAAAATTTCAATATAACCAATTAGGTGTCTTTTATCTTCTCTTTCTTTAAAGCCATTTGTGCCTAAGTACAATTGATTACCTCCAACTTGAAATTGAAATGAATTTTGTAGGAAATTTTGAAATTTTTGAAATTTTGTTTCCTAAAGCCTTATTTTGCTTCAACAGTAATTTGTAAATAGTACATTTGTCTAACTCCTTTCGGATTTCTGAGATACCCTAACTGAACTTTTCGAATGTTGACCCTTTAAATGAGGTTAATGAAAAATTTACTATATTAAATGTAAAAAATCCAGAAACTCCACTCTTCGCTAACAAAATAAGCATTTAATTGCCCTATTTTATCTCCTCATAACACCAAGTTTTTGAGGACTTCTCTCGGCTACTTATTTAATATACTTTCGGGGTAAATGATAATAATGATTAAAGAGAATGCTACGTATAAATCAACCGCCCCTACCAATAGCATTTAACTAGCTCAAGGACAAAGTAAAAAGTCCGATAAAATGGTATTTATTCCGTTTTCTTTTTATGAGCCAATGTTTTTGCCCAAATAGAGAAGCTATAGGTTGCCATATGAACTCAATAAGGAGTAACACACAACGATAATGCTCTTTCTTACCAACCATCTGTCTCCTAAATCATGGAAAATATCGAAGAAACATTGAATAGTTATTGGAAGCATTACACGCTTTGCTAGATTTATCTAGAACCTTCTCCAACTTCATCAGTCTTACAGTATGATATTTCAGCATAGCGGTCTCTTGTTTAACACCGCTATGAGTAAACTGTACATTTTTTCCTTATAGCTAAGTGAGAACCGCCGTCAAACAGCCACTGAAGAACTTGAGATGCTCAGAGTTCAATTTGAGGCCTCAGAACGAAGTCGCAGAAAGGCTGAATCGGAGACACAAGAGATTACCAACCGTGTCTCGGAGTTAAATACTCAAGTCAACAATTTGACTGCTGATAAACGACGACTCGAAGGCGAACTAGCTATTGCTCAAGGTGATATTGAAGATCTCAATGGAAGTAAATTGGTAAGAATGCAAAGCCTATCTTTATGACTATTTTAAGTCCTTAATTTACGAATGAGTCTTATCAATAGAATTAAGAACATATTCTTTACGTATTTTCCAAAATGGAAGAGAGCACTTTATATCAGTTTTTGAGTACTGCTCGAGACTGGCCACTAAATTTTGCTCAAGTCTCATATCCCTTCAGTGTTTCCCCAAATGGTTAACCGCTATCGTTCCTGTTTGTCTGCCTAAATTCCCTTTTCAAGAATCTCTTACATTTTGTGAACAAGATCCTTCCTAGAATTGAATTTTTATTAAACATATCCATTTCTTGGTTAGAAAGAAGCTCTCGGGATAACAGACCGTACATATATGAGCAGCGCTTTTTAGGCAAATATCATATTTCCTATGAACCGCATGATTCAGCATTGGGGACAGTTCATATAAATTCTTTCTTTACCCAGGGTAACGAAGAGCGGATTGCAAAGCTACTGCAAGATGTGGCCCGGTTGACTGCTGACCTGCAAGCGGAACAGGATTTGGCTCGTAGAGCCGATGCAGGAAGACGTCAACTTGAGACTGACCTTCGAGATGCCAATAATCGTCTCAAAGCTGCCGAACAAGCTCTTGAAGACGCTGAAAAGGATTCGATTAGGAAAATAAGCAACATGGAAGGCCGATTGAGGGAAGCGGAAATGACTGCTGAATCGGAATCTAAGAGAGTTAGAGAACTAACTGCTCATCTTAGGTAAATATATTATCACCTCGTAATGTAATCAATCATTTTTATACAAGGGAAGAGAAATTGCAGTGTAAAGTATCTTTTTTTAGTGCTATCGATTTTATAATATAGTCATAGTGAAAATAAAGTGGGGACAAAATGAGGAAAATTTAAATGAACAGTCAATTCAGTTTAACTCGAATCAATATCGATTTTGAAAGTAATTAAGAGCTGCCCATAATAGACAGATTTTGAAATTGACGAAATTTTATTCTGGTCCTGCAAATTGCACAAACATATAACTTTCAAAATGCGGACATTTTGAAAACCGGATATTGAAAGACTGTTGCTTGTCAAACAAAGCAGGTCTATTTGGAGCCATGTCGAATGTGCAATAACTAAACAGAAAGAGAGGAAAAGGATTTTTGGGGTATTCGTCTTTTGGTGGCGTGATTTCGTTTTCATCGCTACGGTTATATTTGTCTTTTCTTCAATGACTAATCATGGGAGGTCTGAAAGGAGGGTAGGAAAGGGATAGCGAGGATGGGTTGGGTGAACGGTGCACGCCGGTTGAACCGCTATACCTTTATTGATCCGTACACAGCGTGCACCAATTTGCAAGCATGCGTGTTTTCTAACCAATCGGAAGCATTCAACATGCGTGGGTGTGGTTTTTTGTGTGAATTTCGGGCAACTATGCCCGTGGGATTTGCGCTAAGTAAATCGTCATTCATAAATATAAAAAAACGCTTATTTAACAAACAATGCTAGAATGAATTACTTGCTTGGAATCCTTTCAAAAATAAATTTTCTACAATAGGCACCAAGTTCTTTTATTAAAGGTATTTCTTCTAATGAAACTGAGATTATAGTGACATTAAAAGAAATTTACGTGTAAAAATCACACTTTGAAATCACCATAACAGTAGATATTCAAATGGAAATTTGGTGTTCATTCATGTATGCGGAATGCAAAAAAACAAGAAAGAAGATGCAATGCTTTGTTGTCCGCGAATTTCCACGCGACTGCTTCTTTTGAAGCGATTCACAGTCTCACTGTCGTTGTTTTGGAGGCTAGAATGTCTTTAATTCGAAATCACTGCGTCTCTGTCATAATATGTCAACTGTGTCTATTTTATGCAAAACCTCTGGGTTTCTTGCTAATGCAACGCTATATATATATATATATATATATATATATATTTTTCGAGATACCAGCTTCGTGGCGTAATTTTGAAATTTCCGAGGAAATGCAAAACAGAAAGTAACAATTTCTTTCATGAAAAGCAAAAAGTTCGTTTTATTTGAAATGGAGACCGTTGTCTAGCTGAACTTGCGATATTAAAGGATTAGGGTTAGTCGAAGAAGTGTATCGATGCCTTTATGAATGCTGATTGGTCAATAAGGAAGGTTAAATTTCGTCCTTTTTATTCCACAGATCTAGATGCTATAAACTTGCATGCACTATTTTCAATTTCTTTAATTTTAGAAAAGTTGAGCGCTCTCACAAAGAAGTGAGTCAGGCGATAGAGGAAGAACGCGCATTGGCTGCTCAGATGAAGGAATTAATGGAACGTGGTCAGGGTAAACTCAAAAACATGCGTCGACAAGTTGAAGAAGCTGTGAGTTTCGATTATGAGCTCTTCATTCATTTGATGCAGGACATAGGATATTCATGTTTTTACGAGAATGAATCTTCTACTACCCTAAATTAGTTTTCAAATATCCAAACATGTCCTAATTAATGTGTTATGGATTACTTAAGCAATCCTTAGACATTTTATTTGTCACGTTTTATATACAATAATTTGATCGTTATCGATTTAGTAAGAAGCTTTTACGAAACCACTAAAAATCTCATGCGCATTTTATATGCATATTTGCCCATTCTAAACCTTGAGAGATGGGAACATTAGATAGCATTGCTGTCAATTTTCGATATTGGTTCTATAAAATTCCGCTTATTTATCCATCCTAATTCACACAGCATTAATCCAGAGATCCATGTTTCCCAGGTTTCATTCTGACTCAGAGAGATGGTAAAGTAAGAAGAGAAATGAGACGGTAAATGTTTGCTCTCAGAGATAAAGGGAGAGTGTAGATCAACTCGCTCACGAAATTAACCAGAATTACCCCTATCTATCTAGGAAATTGCTGCGGCAGCTGCAAACATGAAGCTTCGTAAAGCTAATGAGCAATTAGAGGAAGCTGAATTACGCGCCACCATGGCCGAGCGTCGTGTGAGTCTCCAAGCCGAATCCGTTCGAGACAAGCAGGCATTCACTCCCCGTATGCGCTCCACTTCCTTCGTTCGAGAAGGCTCCACTTTCAGCGTCACTGAATACACTCCACGACGCACTCGACGTACTCCAGCTTTCCGCTCTGTCGATAGTGAAGAACGAGAGATTGTGCTCAATGGAGGTGCTGATTAAACTCACGTGACCTCTCCCGTCTTCACTCCCCTTTGTAGTGCCACTTGGTTTCGGCCTGAATCTGCTCAGATCTCTTTTACTACTCGCACTTGCACGAGTCCTTTCGAGTGTTCCTTCTCACAATCTCCGTGTACAAGCCTTTGACTATCATAACCTCCTTCTTCTCTATATTTTCCTTCTATTTCGAAATGTAAGGAACTTCTTCTCCGCTCCCACACCCCCTCCCCCTCCCCCGCCCTCAACATTGCTTTATTGCAGCATAATTTATTTATGCTTCTCTTTGCCCTCCCCCCCTCCCCCCTCCTCCCTTCTCATTTCTTTTCCTATTCACGACACATTCTTCTAATCTTCATTTAGCTCTATGCTATGCAACATTGACGTATTAAGAGTGCTGTCATTTATGTTACCAGGTAAACCGGCTGTCGGTGTAATAGTGCAGTATAACAATGACAGAAATAACTTAATACTTGACCGTTCTGTGTCTTAATAAAGTGCAATACAACTCAATGGTCCTTTCGTTTTGCTTAATTAATCCTAATGCTTCGAATTAAATTACGGCGCTATCAAACTGTTTCCCTTCTCAATGTAAGTTTTGAAAACACTTTCCAAAAATGCAATAGGAGTCCTGATAGTTAAATAAATGTCTGGAGGTGATAGCTTCCCAATTAAATGGACCTTAAGAAGCCTTCATAAATTTTGCAATGCAATCATTATCTTCAGCAAGGATATTGGCGATATAAATTCCATTAACTTGGCTAGAGGAAACCAAAACAATTACACCTATTCATATATTTATTTATATCAAATGGCAGGCGTTTTGATACTTATCATTAGCCCTTTAGTTGACTTCAGGCTTCACAGAGGGGAAGGAACATCAAAGTGAAAAAATTCGAGAATGGGGGTGGGGGGGGGGGGGAACAGAAGGGTGTTTCAAAGATATAAAGGTGACAGACACAAAGGTAGAAAATAGGTGAGATGAGAACTGTGGAAGTGGTGGAATATGACATACAGTAGGGTCATGGTAGTTTGAAGTCAGAGGTCAATTGCCGGTTAATGGCATTTTTTGCCGTATGAGCATACGTTGCCCAGGTAAGTTTATCGACCACCCCTATTCCTATATTAATAACGAATATTATCCGAGAACTTTTTTCATCTCCAATTAGGTTATCGCCTTCCGAAATCTACCTATTTTTTATCAGCAGTTAATTTTTTCGTTGGTTTAATTTTTTATTTGTTCTTCTTCCGGTTACTTAAAACCGAGGTCAATTTGGGTTGTGAATTATAGGTCAATAATGGCAGTGTTCGAACAATAAAAATTGAAATGATGACTCCATTCTCACAATTTCGGCTTTATAGTGAGGCTTTTTCAAGCGTTTATAGAATAAGAAAGTACTTAAATGTCAGTCGAAGGAAAAGTTAGAAGCAACTGTGTGCCTCTCTTTAACCTAAGAGATAAATCCTATAGGATAGTGTACCATTGCTAGAGATCATGAATTCGAATTTAAACAAGAATATCACTAATATTCTCCTGATGAGTACGATACACAGTGTGGCAATAGTAAAAGAGGAAAGTTATCATACTTGGGATTCAAGTAAGACCTATTCAAGCAAGGAAGAAAGTTAAGTGAATGCAAGATAAACTCAACAATAGCACATAGTACAAAAAATGACAATCCTGATCGATAGGATGCCTAAGTTTGGTTGAAAAGCACTTTGATGAACCTTCGAAATACCGGAAGGGTATAAGCGAATGAGCAGTGAGGTTGAATATGTACGCATAGAGGACTAAATGTCACCTGCCTTTGTTGAATAATCACAGCGATTCCCAGATGACCTTTCCATGATAGGAAGATGATGGATTCTTGTAACTGCCTTCATCCATTCACGTAGGACAAGCGTTAATAAGTATGTTTAAAACGACATTTACATATACTTATTGCTGTAAAATTTGTGCCGAATTTAAGACTCTCTGAGACAAGAAGATATGTCATTAATGGGCCAGATTTTGGGCCAATTAACCAACCCATGATAGTTGAAAATTTTTAAGAGTTCTGGATATATCATGGAGTAGAACTAGCTTCCCTAATTCGTGGTGAAGCTCTTTATGCGCAGATAAACAGGATGGATCAGTATTTGGAGAAGATTCATCAACACAAAGTTTTTACTTACGCTAAGGATTTATGCAACAACGATATTGGGAAATGATCTGGATAGCCAAAGTTAATTGTGACCACCTTGAAATAGCATTGGGAAATTATAATGATGAGACGTGTCTTGGTGTGATGAACAAGCCTAGCTGCAAATGTCCTCGAATGTGGATTGCATCCATCTCAACTTCATGATAGTTCGGAGGGTAGGTACAAGAAGGTCATGATACAAATAAGACAAACACGTCTGGGAATTCCAAATAACTGAGTTGCTAAAAAATGGCCGTAATGCGAGATAGTGATATAAGGATAGTAGGCAGACAGATAGGGTCCAAAAGGAGGTTGAAAAAACAAGCATTGAACTATTGGGAATGAATTGGATGCGAAAAGGGGGGAAGTGACTGCGTTGGCGTATGTGTGTGTGTGTGTGTGTGTGTGTGTGTGTGTGTGTGTGNGAGGGGGGGGGGAAGGACAATGTAGGCAATGAAGAATAGGGAAATATGTTAGTCTTTAAAATGCGTTGACTCTTTGTTCTGTGTGAGTCATTATGTGTTTTATGCTGATAAGGGAATCAATTAAGTGTGAGAACGTATGTACACCATACGTTGGAGCCAGAACAAACCTGGAGTAGGATGAGTATACACTAGTAACTACCAATTTAGATTATTAATAAACAATTTTGACAAATCCAGATACGCGGTCCGGAGGTTTTCTTTTTGAGTATATCTTCTAAACGAATTAATTGCAATTAAATCCAAAATTCATTAAACTCCGATACTCTATCATTGGTAAAACAAGCAAAATCAGTTGATTCAATTCTCCCAAATGCAGAAATCTAATTCCAGTTCAATTCAAAACCTTGGATAGCACACTGGAATTCATAGTAGTTCACATAAATCATCTAGGAACTAATTGTGGTATCTCCAATAACCTGTGGAGGGGGGGGGGCGGTGGGGTCATAGAAACTATAAAATAGGACTCAATCAAATTGATGATCTTTCATTGTTATATTTTCGCCTTAGCATTTTCACACACACACACACACACACACACTCAACAAGGCGATTGTCTGCAGGAAGTTTAACGCCCAGTGATTGAAATGCCTGGGGTGGATGCCATCGAAAGAACAGCTAAGCATTAATGAGGTAAAAATCGATTTCAGGAGGGGGTCAAAATTGGATCCTACGTTCTTTGAAGTTGATAAACTTGAACTTACTATCCCCATCGATCTATTGGCATCACTTAAGGCAGATGAATTAATTGCTCAAAATGAAACGAGATAGCACCCAGGAAATTGGGGGAGGGGGGAATGTGAAATCTAAAATTTAGCCTGTAGTCCTAGCAACAACATAAAAGGAGTACATTTTTTTGTAAAATAAAAGTTATAATATTATTAGGTAACCAAAATCAGAATGAATAAATAGAGCCATTTTTGGTTTAATCTCGATTAATTTACTGTGGGACTCTGAAATTTCCACTTCTCCTAATTAAAGCCAATTATACTACGAAATTTCATCATTAAGAGAAAGCTTCCATGTAAAGGTCGCCTCTAGCAAATGCCGTCAGCCATTTCCACGTGTTTACGCTAATGCATTATCATCCAAGTAGATCTGATTTGATGGACTTCTATTGCGCGCTACTGACTAAGGGCCACTAATAACTCCTAATGTGGACAATTATGAAGCCATTTCTGTCATCGTTTAACGCAGGTATTGCATCTTCCCATGGGAATTAGTATTACCTATGGCTGGATAAGGAAACAGTATTACCGCTTAAATAGCTGTTATACGAGATTTGAGTTCAATATCACTTCTGGGAGGACTTATTTATAATTTTTCATTTCATCATCCACAAAGATGAAGGTCCATAGAGTAGCTGAATACATCAGTTTAATTAGGGTGTAAAAGGCTGTTGTTTTTTTGAGGAGTTTTAATTAACCTCAAATATGACTAAAGTGCAATCACTATATACTAAAAAAGTATGAAGGGCTACAGCATTCTTAGCCTTTAATAGGCTATCCAAAACACGATGAGATATGCCTCCGAAACAAAACCCTTTATCAACAATTGTCTAATGTTCAGGTGAAAAAAACCTGAATGGCAATATTTCGTCTTTTTAATCCCCCATAAGATCACCATTTCATGATGAGGAAAATTGTTTTAATGGCAAGTAATAACGATTTTAATGTAGTAGGTAAAGATTCATTTTTAATGAACGTTTTTAAAGCAGAAATTGCATTTTGCTTGACTATATGCCAAGAATGCCTATTTCGCAAATTAATAATTAGAAATGAACTCCCCATCTCTACTTACCTTTACGAATACTTTAGGAATATTAAACGCCTTTTCCGACGAAACTAATAGGGTACATCCCCTCCCGCCTGAGTAGTAGATTATCGATCATTGGATTTCCGCACTCATATCATGATATGTAATTTAGTAATTATTGTCTTAATTCCTGACTAACCGGGTAGTCAATCACTTACTTCCATTGTGGATGGATCATTGTCTAGGATTCTGATCTTCCCTTTCCTCTTCCTGAATATGAGTACTTGTTAGATAATAAAGTGACCACGATAGCGTAATAAGAAAGCATGAAAATGGAATTTACGCGAGGCTTCAATGGTACTTATGGTAGTGATGTCTTCCATTGTACATTTAAGGTCGGATAGTTCAAGGAATTCTTGTGCAGGCGACTTCCACAATGTTTAAATACACCTCTTTCCCTTCTGGAAGCACATATCTGGATGTTAACCACCAATCATCGCCAACTATTTGCCAAAACCAATTATTTCTTTGAGGGACTATTGACTGATTAGGAGGAATTGAACTGGGTGACTACATACATGTTTCA